AACAAAACAAAACAAAACAAAAGAAGAAAAAGAAGAGTTCAGATGTTGAGCAACATACCAGTTTCCATGGTGCATTACCACTTCTATCATTCAGGCAGACATCCTGAATGGTGAGAGAAAGCGTGGAGGCCGATATTTCACCATCAGGGTAAATATCATATTCGAACCCTATGCCACATAGTGCAAGCTCTAAACAAACAGCCACATCCCTTGAACAAGTCACAGGAGAAGTATGAGACGTATTATGGAAGCTAGAAGACCAGTCTGAGCCACCATACATTCTCCAGACGACATTCATGTTCTTAAGAAGTATGTGACCCTCAACTTTTCCAATATCAACATAATCAGAATCACTAGAAGAAATTTCAACATCTACAGCCTCCTTCGGCATATGAATCTGCTCTAGTTTTGAAGCATGATTTTCTAAAACTCTTAGTGACGTATCTGCATACCATCCTCCATTACCCAATCGAGACTCTCCAGCAGAAGCAGATGTGTAGCAAGTCGGGTCAGATGACTGTTTTTTCAAAGCGAGGCCTGAAAGGCCGCGTAAATCTGTTACGAAATATTCTTCTATAAAAGTGGGTACATTTTCTTCTGATGGCGAAGCTCTACTAGACACTAGAGAACTATCATCACCAGTTGACATGCCAAGATGTGATTCGAAACTTTTAGTATGACCATCAACATCAACCTGGAACACATCTTCACATATTTGATCCATCAAATTCCCTACCTTAACTTTCTTATCTAGAGAAAGTGTTGGAGAAAAATCACCACCTACCTTCTTTTCATCATTGGGATCATGTACCTGTTGTGCATTGTTCCACCTATTCTCCAAGTGCACAACGTAATCTCGCAAATCGGGCGAAAATAGCTTTTGGAGTTGAGCAGCCAATCTAATTAATGCTGATGTCGTGTCATGGCATGTATTTAAAACGATGTGCGAGTCCCCACATTCTAATTCCCATGAATGGCCGTTCTCACAGTTCGTCCTAAAGAGTGCCTCAGTATGAGCCTCTTCTGCAACTTTCACATAACCAGCCTTGCGAAGAGAATCTACACTGTAATTACTACCAAACAACTCAGATTTCGGAAGCATACGAACGAGCAAACCAAGATCTTGCAGTTGAATCTTATACTCCCCTTCATTGCAATCAACCAAAGTAGTATTCGAAAGTTTCAGGGAAGACGCAGCCAATATACAAGTAACATGGAAGTCTTCTAAAGATTCATTGGCGCTCCAATTAGAAGATGTATCTGACCCTTGAGGAACTGCAAGTTTTCTCAAGTACGGTTCATAACTCAAACCAACATCAACCAAATGAAGAATGAAGGATGACCCACATTTCTTGTCCCGACAATCACCACCCGTTTGCTCTAGTTCGGAAGATGGTGACCTGAAGAAAGAAAATATAGTAGTAAACCAATCCATGCGACCCCCGATTGCCACAATAGTGGCGCCTCTAAGAGTAATAGAAAGAGAATTATGGTTGCTCTCTGGATCACAGAAGTGAATTATGTCCGAACCAGAATACCGAGAAGATAGCACATTTGAACCTCCGCCACCTCCACGACCCATTGTAGATTCACTGCACGATATCAGAAGAAACTCACGATGTACACCTTCAGTAATGGAACCCCACAAACTGCCTGGACCATGGGCCACCCATAGGAAATTGGCACTTCTGATTCCACCAATATTAGATACGGAAAGTAATTCAAACTTGTTGACTTGAAGTGTCAGATATGACCAAGAACCGGGAAGTTCAGAACATGTAGAGAAAACATCACCTACTGGCTCAATCGCCATGGTAAATGTAGCAGATTCACACTCCACAAGAATTGATGTTTGCGATACAGAGTGTTCCTCCCCAATTGTAACTGATTCAGAAGCAACACTTGAGAAATGCTCGAACACCTGAGTTATGAGGCCACTTATTTTTTCATACTGAGATTTTCCCAGACTGATTGTTACAGGAGGTAATTTCCCATGAAGTAAAAATGTAGAAGTTGATATTATCTCTTGTCGAGAACGAGCTTCAAAATTTTTGTTGTCCTTAACAGTTGTAACCGAGGCAAACTCGCAGCCTTTTCTTACATCTTTCTTTCCATTCTCTGAAGAAGCTAAAAGCTTGGCTTTCTTTGCTATCCAAGGGCCAGTAGCAAGGCCTTCTTGCCATAACATACTAATGATAGACAGACCAGTTCTGTTCACAATAGAAATAATCTTCTCAACAGAAAAGCTAGCGTCCTGCATGTTGTAGATCTCGCTACCAACAGTTTTCTGTGTTAAAGGTGAGGTAATGGAGAAGAGATAAAAGTCACCTACGTTAAAATTCAACGAGCATGATGTGGTCACGGTGAGCCTCCTGTCAGAACTTGCAAAAGCTGGTGGCTTAGAAGATTGGACATCTTTCCCACAAGTTCTTGTTGATATAAAATCAAAAGCAATAACCTGTCTGCTAGAAGAGCTGCTGCAAAGATCTCTATGGTTCTTGGGAGGAAAATTCAGGAAGATCCTAGCATTTAGAAGGAATACATGACCCTCCACAACTCTTTCAGTTGAAGCATGTGAAATTTTCATTTCATCACTCTGAGGGAAAAATCCACATTTCATAGCTTCTGAATCAGGCACATAATTACTCCCCTTGAGAGTTGTCTCCATGCAATTTGCCATATCTTTCAGAAATTGTAGCATCATGGTAATTGGATCAAAGCTAAACCAGCAAACGAAATGCGGCAACTTCAATGTAAAAATTGTTGGCCCCATCATTGAGGCACCAGCAGAACCCAAGTTTATCTTGACATGGCACTGAGTGGCACCTGAGGTCTTAAGCAAAGTTACACTGGCATCTTTCCCGCAGATATCTTTTCCATTTATTAAGTGACGGCATCTATTGATCTCCTTCATGTTCAGAGAAATATTATTCAAATGATTAACCCGATAGCGTGTTCCGTGTTCTTTGTCAGAGTCTTGAAAAGCCAAAAAAGCGCCTTGCACATCGTCTTGCATTTTCCGAACCAAGGCAACCTCACTAGCAGAGTTGTCATTATATCCATGCACACTGGAACCCACTGAGTTACTTTCAGAGCACAAGTGATCAACAAGTTGAATATGTTGCACAATAACTTCGAAGTTCATTTCTGAAGGGCCCACCTGCAGAAGTTGCAATCTCTTTTTATGTTAATTGAATGAATGAATGAATAATAAAATCAAGTGAAGTAACCAAACAAACATTCATCACTAGTTCTAATCCAAGAAACAGGAAAATAAACCACATATAATTACCTGCACCGTAAGAAACAAATCGATGAACTGTGTGCACATACGATGACTTTGAGAACCAGTATTGGCCATATCATCTGTCACTTTGGAGAACTGATTTTGATCTTCATCGAGGAAGGATAAAAGGAGAGATACTTTTGCTAAGGACGCATTAAAGTTGGTTTCAACATGCTGCTGCTCTGCACCCAGGTGAAGATAGTTATTTTTAGTTTCTGATGGCTGATGCAGTACTATATATATATATATATGCTGGAAATAGCTGTAATAGAGCTTCATGCGTTTATGAGGGCATGTGGGTGTGGCAATTGTAAATGTTTAAAAAGATATTATGAGTTCTTGATTGGAAAACAATTAGCTGATGACACAGTAACCCAAGCCTCCCCACCCTAAGCAAAATAACATCTGAAATTTCAATCGTATAAACAGATAGGAGAGGTACATCAGTGCAGAAAAACACCAAATAAAAACCTTAGCAGCTACAAATCTGAGGAAGGTAGAGAAAACGATTCACATGCCTATACAGAAAGTTCATTGAACGACCATGATAAGAGTCACCATTATTTCCTCTGATTCTCAAAACACATTCACAAATTTCACTACTTGTCTTAATAACTCTAGAGGCTGAAACACCCAAAGCACAAGCCAAAACCATAACTGAGCAGATCCGGCTTGATTTGCTTAGCATCCAAAGTCTGACATGTGTTTCATGGACCAACTATTCACTGACTGGCACTGGCATGCTTGGTGAAATTCATATCGAACAAAGACTAACAACAAAACTTACTGCAACCATTACAGAACAGATGCAAATGAATATAACATCTCTATTGCCATAAGTTCAAGGACATACTATACACTCAGTAGCTTGTGAAAAGTTTATCTTCGAACACCTCAGATAACCCACTCTAATGTATATCTAAAAACTGTCCATTCTCCTCCACCACTACCAGAACCACGGCATACTAATAAACTAGATTCACCAATCCACTCTTGTCCAGTCAACTAAAAGCTAAAGCAGAAACTGAAATGACGTAGAAATTGAACCATGTGCAGAAAGAAACTGGACAACAGATTTGATGCATTTAAAGATAATGCGCTTCAATATTCATGTGAAGGTTAAAAAAAGGTAAATAAACACCAAGTAGTCTGTAGTGTCATATCAACTAATATAATAATACAAAATTAAAATGGGGGCTATAAATGGTAAGAAACATACCAGACGAGACATGTACAGACCCAGAGGCAAGGTAGGAAGCTGCAGTTATTGCACTAAACACAGAACATGACCAGTTCCACATGCCACTATTCCCCAAAGCTGACTGTGAATTTCTTAGTCCATCAAAACACTCAAAAAATTGGTCCACACTGCCAATAAATCATTCATAGTAGACAGGTGTTAGAACAGTTTTAAGCTAAATTAGGTAGAAACAGAATGGCAGCATTTTTTCACTCCCATGGAACAACAAAAATAAACTTCATTACGCCATCAGGCATATGTGCTGAAAAAAAGGAAGGTCAGTAAACGAGATCAGTCAATTTAGTATTCGCATCTCTCAAACAAGCACCCATGATGCAAATAAAAGATAAGGTTGCAAAGGGTGTCAGAACCAAATGTCAATAGGTTCTAATCAACAATCATAATATGTGCTAAACGTGAACATGAATAATGTTCCAAAGATACCATTTTTAGCTGAGCACAACTTAATTTTTAAGAAAATATTTTTTCCAAAAAGTTTGTATCATAGTAAAGAATACCAACCTTGCTCCAAAATCTGGTTCTTCCTCATTTGCATCTTTCGAGCTTCTGCTCACCCAATCGGATATAAGATGCGATTCTGAGAGAAAATTATGTGCCGGTTCCTTCTCCATCACACAGCTATTGGCAATCAAGCGTCCATTATAAGCTATACTTTTTTCAGGAAGACCCACACAAGAATTTGGAGCTGACAAATCATCTGATGGTTCATGATGACCTGGATCCTTGCTCTTGTCAATAACACCTTTCAATACGCCCCACATGAATATGAAACACTTGACGGTGCTGGGTTGAAGTCTTATTTCAAGCGGCTCCAAATGAAGATCAGCATTCACTTTGTGGATGTCCAATGAACCATTTTGCCACGGTAAACTTAACGACAGATTTCCCGAAAAACCTCCATTTTCTCCAGAAATTATCGTAGTCATGTTACCAGATGAACAGTACCCTGAAAACCAGTTGCCAGCACTTGTTTCGGTGGGAAATTCAAGCGATGACTGATGATCAAGACCATCCACGTGGAGCAACTCAATCACTGCTCCCTCAAATTTCACATAATTTGTTAATCGACTGAAACCAAGAAAATTATTAACTGTGGTGAAACCGCTCGACGAATCATCTTCAGAAATATGTGTTCCGCACTCTGCTTCACTAATCCGAAGCACCAAGATTCTGCCTAACCCGCTATCATTTCCATCTTCCAGAAGCGGATCAAATGCCACAATAAGTTTCTTAACTTTGACGTGGAAGCTTGTTAGCAACCACTTCACCATTTTGGCAATGGTTTTAACTCCTTCATGAACATCAACAGAAACTCCACTGTTCGGACTCCCAGCGTCTTGCTTTTTAGCACCATGGCTGGAACTATTGCTGTCGACTTTACAGTGACTGGCAGTGTCGGGTTCATATCGGCAAAATTCACCACCACGAGGAGCAAGAACAATCTCAAGCTCATCCACCTCAACCCGGCAGCCACCATCCTTCCAAGGCATGGTTACCGTAAGTGACCCGACAGACCCTTCTTTCAGAAGAACTGCCGCTGTTCCCAACTGAAAAGCAATCAGAGTCAACACAAATCATTACATCAATCAAACTAGACAAATTATTAACAAAAATTTCGATACAGAGAATTATAGAATCACCACTCTTGAAATTGTTCTTCACTGAATTTTCCAGCTAAACCCACACTTCATTTGAACACACCCCACTTTATAGACTACTTCATATTCATACAATAAGCTCACAGACTCCTACGAGCTACATGAAAAACTCTCCCCGAAATAAACAACAAAAAGCGGTAACCATAAACTCTAACAGCATCAACGAAACACAACCCACCTTCTCGTTTACATAATCGACGTTCAGCGCAAGATCGGAGAGCTGAATTGTGCCAGCACCGAGCTGAACATCAAGCTGGTGAAGATCAATATCCCCAAGAATAAACTTGCCCAACTTCTTCTTGAGCAAAAATTTGCAGATACGCTTTACAGCCCACCGTGAGAACATCGCCTCAGCGGATTTCGTAATACTCCACGAAAACATCTCTTGTATAGCAAAAATACACAAATTTTACTTTGTACTCTTGTTGGTTGGGCACTCCTTTTTCAAAACCTAGGGTTTTTCAAGGTCGTTTGTACAGAGAAAGTGGTTTGATGGAGGCTACAACCTCCATCCAGGTGAAATTCAGAAGATCGAAACACAAACAAGATTGAGTCAGGCTCTTTTCCTTCTTCTCCTTCGTTGTTTTTTT